TTTTGCGGTTTTGATCGCGGTTATGAATCGCATACTACAGCCTTCGATTGGTGATGCTCAGCAGTCATACAGGTTGCAATATTTGTTCTGCAAAATTTACTCACCGACAAAATTTCTGTCATATCCAGATACTACTCCCCTAGCCAGATCTGATGCAGTCAACTGAGCCCCTCCCTTGACCACCACCTGATGAGAGCCCACTTGACAGACAGTAAGCAGATAGATGTTCTAGATTGTTCGCGACATTTCGTTCGTGTTCATTGAGGGTCTCCGAATCCATGCAAGATGTACAAAAAACTTTCGCTTCAAAGGAGAGATAAGTCGCAGCGGAATTTCTATTATGCATTTGGAGGCAGTACGAATCTAACTTACGGGGTTAGTCACGTCACAGAATGCTTCTGCCTGGTGGAAATCTACGGTGAGGTGTCAAAAGCTGTAGTTATCCGTCGTTGCAGCCTATGTTTGGTTTGCGCAGCAAGAACCGCAGTCGGAGACTGCCTTATCTACTCGGGTTTCTAGTCTAGCATGCATACTCTACGATGGGATGTCTGTGATTCCCTATCACGAATAAGCACTGCCAATATCTTCTCAACAATACCATTTACAGAAACACTATGGAAGACTGGTCACATAACACCTTCGTCGGCACATCCTGACTTAGGACATCGCAAGCCCTGTGTGACCTTCTGCGAACTCGGACCTTTCTCTCTTTTCTCTTCGGTAAATACTTTCCCTGTGGGTTTGATCATCCACTAAACGCTTTTGGATTTAGATAGCCCTTGTATTTCTGCGCCTACGCTATATCCCGCTATTTCCTCGACTCAGAGATACAGTATGTCCAAACTCTACCCGGAACATCCACGGGAGTGAAGCAAATAATGAATAACTAATTGAAACAAGAAAAGTAGAAAAATGGAAAACAAATGTATATAGCGCGGTGAGATGAAGTAGAAGCAAGCAGAGGTATGTCCCAACAGATCACCTGGTAAGGTCTCAGCTCAACCCATAACACACGCCTACATGAGCCTATGCCAAGGACCTAATCGACTTCTTCTATGCAGCATCGGATTTCAGAGCACTGTAACTCACCATAGCATGCAAACAGACTTCCCTCGCCAGGGAAATAGCTCGTTTGGGAGCATTGCATTCGGCTCACAGCCCGTCCACGCAAACTAGGATGATGTGTCTCCGAGTAACATACTCCTTTGAGCAGGCTACTCACCCCCTCCAATACGATCTCCAATTCGATCTATTGAACGTACATCCTGCCTCACCTGCCCGTCTTGCAGGCTTCCAAGATGACAGCCCTTCTCTAAAGCATGGGGCAATCAAGACACGCGGCGTTGAGTTTCGGGTAACTCTGCATAATCAATAATTGGGGTTCATCCCATGGATCAGACTTACGGCGGGGTCATACTTGTTCAATATACATAGACCGGAAACTGTTCATTGAGCCGAGTGAAAAATACCCTCGGACTATTGCACGACACATAACATCTCCAAATTAGCGCTGGTTATGATGGAGAAGTAAGTGGTTCTGGGAAATGTGAGCGTCAGGTGTCGTGTGTCTTAATTTGGAGTGGCGAACGGTTTTGCTAACGTAGAGGGGAATGCGAGTGGGTTTCGGAACGTATCATGTTGCGAACAAGAGCTACATGGACATTCTCGAGTAGCTACTACTGTTTTTGGATCAATAGTTAGCTAGACAATATCCATGAATTTATTAGGTGGCAATTGTTGGGTACAGCGCTGAGTAGTGGCTGTTGGCCGAATGCGGCAAAATAATAGGACGTGTCTCATGATTGAGGTTTATTGCAGACTGAGTTCATGTGCGGAGTCTATGCGCCTAGGCTGAGCTATTCCTTTCTGGAAGCCAGAACTACTTCTGAATTCCAACTTTTAGCTACTGTCATATACCCCTGGTTCAGTTACTCTATGTGGAGATTTGGTCATTGCATGCACAAATTGACTTTGATCGGAAAGGGTGTTTGCATACATTTATGTATCGCGCAGGAGACCCTGCAGAATTAATTCAATATATGATGCGCTAGTGTATATATGCTTTAGAATGCGGTGAACTCAATTGTGAGCCGAAGTAGTAATCATGGGGCATTGTATCTCCTGACCACTGCCATACTTGGATGGTATCCTACCGTCCTTGGCACCTCTCAATACCACAGCACCCTTCTTGTAACCTCGGTATGTTTTTATTCACATAAGAAGAACGCCACGATGTGCACCAAATTATTTGGAAGGGGACTAGTAAGTGCTGGAATTCATCAACTTCCACAAATGTGCCACAGTCTCTTTAAGCTTAAATGCTGAACGAGTGAGGTGAACAGGGTCCACTGCGGCTGCTGGGTAAGGCCGAACAAGATCAGCAGCAAATGTGACAGAACCGTTATTCTGACCTAATCTGATCTGCTACCTCAACGCTATCTATGCTGGCGCTAACTCAAGTAATTGCTATGGAGTTCGTTTCCACCAATCCCTTGGAAACCTGACTTGGCCATCATGTGCCACTTGCATAGTACCGGCTCCTGATCGATGTGGACAAAGTTGAGCTATTACTTGCTTTGGGGCTAGTTAGACCGATCCAGTCCCTGAGGGGCCTATCGTCCATCCATAGCCCAACCCTTTCCCCTCACGCTTACTACTCTACCGGCTTATCTGTCAATATATAAAGCTTTGCGAATCTATCGTGAGAACCAAGAGAATGTCTACATTCCCAGGCACCGAGGGCATATTAAGGACAGTTGAACCCTTTAAAGTCCTCTACTCATTCATTTCTCCAGGTTCCTGAACACATTATGGGCAATTCGCTTTCATCTTCTCCTTCTCCCGGGCAAAGCCCGCAGCCAGAGATACAACTGAGAGGGGACGAGGCAATAATTACAGGAATCGCTACCGAGTGGCCGTCTCGACTAATAGGCCCCGAAGAATTGAACAAGTACGCCTTGAAATTTTATCCCGAAAATCCTCCATGGTAGGTGTGCTCTCGATGTTCTTTCAAAAGCGCTCTCTAATCAAGACAGGCTCCAAAAGTTGCTCATGCTCAATACCAAGACAGGTATCGAGACACGAGCTGTCATCGATTTATGGGATGATCCTCGCTGGCTTGGGGACCAACCACCCACCGCTGAAGAGGTAGACGCTGCATTTCGGGAATATGGTGTCGAACTCGCAAAAAAGGCCGCCCTAAAAGCCCTCCGGGAAAGTAACATCGACCCGTCCTCAGTCACGCATATGGTGTCCGTGACCGCAACAAATGCCGGAGCTCCGGGATACGATCAACTTGTCGCTCGTGACCTGGGTCTCCCTGATAGGACAGAACGAGTCCTGCTCAGCGGAGTTGGCTGTGCAGGCGGGTGTGCATCCCTCCGACTTGCTTCTGCACTAGCAGATGCAGCCACGCACCGGAAAAAAGCAGCACGAATCCTCATCGTCGCATGTGAGCTCTGCAGCATTCAGATCAGATCAGAGCTGCACGCTGCTTCACAGTCTCCAATTACTAGAATTGGCCCTGTCATTTTCAGTGACGGTGCAGCAGCACTTGTCGTTTGCAACTCTCTTGGAATGAGTGATAAGACGCCCAAGCAATTCGCAATCGTTGATGATAAAAGCGTCACCACCTCCGAAACACAAGAAGAAATGTCAGTCAAGGTCTCCACCTATGGCTTCTTAGCCACATTTTCGAAGAAGATCCCTGAATTAGCAATTGGATCTATGAAAGCTCCCCTTCAGTCTCTGTTGCAATCCAACGGGATGTCCTCCGCGTCTCCGACGGACTTTTATTGGGCTCTTCATCCAGGAGGCCGAGCTATCATCGAGGGTGTCCAGGCCGCTTTCAACTTGCCTGAAGACTCATTATCGGCCAGTTATGAGATCTACAAAACAAGGGGGAACTCCTCGAGTGTTTCGATTCTAGCGGTGTTGGAAAAAGTGCGGGAAAAGAAATTGCAAACACCGAATGTCGTTGCATGTAGTTTTGGAACCGGTATCCGGACAGAGATCGCCCTACTGCGCCGCATGGCATAGACCGTGGTTTTCGGCCTCTATTGACACATGATGTGATAAAAGACTGTCGGGTTTTGATTGATTGACGCTTCAGATTCTACATTATACCTGGCTACAGTTCTCTATGTAGGGCAGCTGTACGATTGCCTACTCAATTAATACCATTAATGTTTACTGCCTCATAAATCCATACAAAAGCCCGTTAGCATATAGAGTGAGTCACCAATATGCGAATGTGCTCTGACTTTTAGTAAATCCGTATTTGCTCCGATTTCTATGTTATACTTTGTGTTCACATATTAAGACGACCTTAGGTAGCGCACTTAATCTTCATCAAGCTGTACTTAGAAATAAATGTAACTCAATACAGATGTAAACATGAGAATAATCAGACTCTATCATTGCTATGCGATCTTTCTAGACGAGAAAATTACTGACGTGCAACTGCCAAGCCTGAAACCGCCCTCCCACCGGGTTTAGTAAAATGCACTCTGTCAAATGATCCTCATACATGACTAACTTCATTCAAAATATAGTCAAAATTAATTCATAGGAGATGCAGGCAAGACGCTATGAGTGCTTTGCGATGAGCGATGCACCTGTGTATGGGGAGAAATATAGGCTCGGTAATTGTGCCTGAGGTCAATTGTTGCCATAAAAGCTATCCTTGTGTCTGAGCTTGTGCGCGATAGTCTGGATGTTCTAAACAGACTACTACACAGTCCATCACTAAATCTGGGAAGCTCAAAGCTGAGGTAGTCAGAAGCAGCCCTAATTGGATTCATGTTCAACAGTTCCAGAGAGTAATCATATAGCCGCGCAAAGTAGCCGAATTCCCGGCGGGTCGGCAACCGAGGATATTCCCGCCGGGCCACGCGGCATCACAACCACAAGCCGAGGAACGCCCTCGATCTAAATTTCCTGAGGCTCCTCCACTCAGCGGTCTAGAATTTCTCACCTTGTCGCATCGTCAATCACCCACAATGTTATCACGAACAACACCCCGACTCCGGGGCCCCATTACCCGCATTCCACGCGCTATCAGCACCACACCTACAGTTCACTCCATTCATACATACAACGCGCTTCGAATTATATCGCGCACAACCGCCGCATCACAGAAGTCATGGATACCCATTCAGCCGTCGCAGCAACCGCGCGCCTTCAGCGCATCGGCCCTTCGTACCGCAGAAACACGAGTCATTAACGTCCCCGCCATGGCGGAATCTATCTCCGAGGGTGTCCTTACTACATTTCACAAGCAGGTTGGGGATTACGTAGAGCAAGATGAGGAAATCGCTTCGATCGAGACGGACAAAATTGACGTCGCTATCAATGCGTCTGATAGCGGTACAATTGCCAAACTACTTGTGAACGAGGGCGATACGGTGACAGTCGGACAGGCCGTTATTGAATTATCTCTGGAGAAGCGCGACGCGTCGCAATCTGCAGAGGTTCAGCCTGCTACAGAGGCTAAGGAATCAAAAGATGGCCAGTCTGCAACGCAACCTATGTCTCAACCAGAGACGAAACCCAAGCCTAAGAAGGAATCCACTGCGGCCCCCGCACCATCGAAGCCTGCTGCACCTGTCGCCGGCGCTCAAGGACCCGTGTCAGCTTACAAGGGTAGTCGCGCAGAGAGAAGGGTATATAAGTTTGCAAATTTTGCCTTTGTAGATGAGATACTAAATGTGATGCAGGAGAGAATGGCCCGCATGCGCCTCCGCACCGCAGAGCGTCTCAAGCAATCTCAAAACACCGCCGCTTTCCTTACTACCTTCAATGAGGTCGACATGTCCAAGGTGATGGAATTCCGGGCACAGAACAAAGACACCGTACTCCAAAAACATGGTGTCAAGCTTGGATTCATGGGTCCAGTTGCCCGTGCGTCTGCGCTCGCGTTGAAGGAGATCCCGGCTATCAATGCATCTATCGAGAATGATGATACTATTGTGTTCAGAGATTATATCGATCTTAGCGTTGCTGTTGCGACACCGAAGGGATTGGTAACGCCGGTGTTGAGAAATATGGAGAGATTGAGTGTAGTGGGGATTGAGAAGGGGATTGCTGAGCTGGGAAAGAAGGTATGTTTGGGATCGGTGTCGTCTTGACTGTAAATCAGACTAACTGCTACAGGCACGCGATGGCAAATTGACCATGGATGACTTGTCCGGAGGTTCATTCACCATCAGTAACAGTGGCATTTGGGGATCGCTGTTTGGTACGCCAATCATCAATGTGCCGCAAACGGCGGTGCTGGGTATCTATGGAATTCAAGAAAGGCCTGTTGCTGTCAAAGGACAGGTCGAAATCCGGCCGGTAAGTTCATTTCATAATGCGTGGTATTCTAGCATTTCTAATTCACATTTTACAGATGATGTATACTGCTCTGACATACGATCATCGGCTGGTGGATGGTCGCGAAGCGGTTACTTTCTTGACCTTGGTGAAGAAGTATCTCGAGGATCCGGCGAGCATGCTGATTGAGTAGATTGTGTGGACAATTGTTCTCTGCTAGTGCTTTTTCTTTGCTTGTGAGATAAAACACCCTGTACATATCTCCGAAACCTTGTCTTCTGCCTCCAATGTGATTCAAACTGAAGCCACTTGAATATGCTTTTTGTGGCCTGCATTTCGAGGCATCAACATACTTTTCGGACATAGATCGGATGTGCCGAGGAACGGCATCTCATTAAGTTGCCGACCGCATGGAACATCCGTCGGCGAGAAGCCTTCATACCGATATGCATGTATCAATCTTCAGAGGAGATACTACCGATAGCTTACCGAGCTTTACTTAAGATGCGGGGTCTCCTTTTATATTCAGTTTTAGTTTACTACTTATTTGCACTGGTGGGGTCCTCACACTCCGATCTGTTGCTGCAACGACTCAGCAAATATATAGATAGTGACAGCACCAACAGCAGCCAATCATACTCTTTATCCAGACACTCAACAAGGCGTTTACTCATCACTACTTAGTACAAAAGAGACAATATGTTCGTTCCACGAAGTCGAATACTTGGCCTACGGCAAGTCCACCACTCTTCCCGTCATCCTCTCCGCCCACGGCCATATGCCACTCAAGCAACGACACAGCGCTCAGTAGACAAGTTGGTATGCCGTCTCTACCAATGTATTCTATGAATACCAAAGACCCTAACACTGAACAGAGCGAGCACAACAATGACAGCTTCCTCCAAGGCACCGCCTCGACCTACATCGACACCATGTACACATCATGGAAAGCCGACCCAACCTCCGTACATTTCTCCTGGCAAGCATACTTCCACAACGTTGAGAACGGACATGTCGCAATTGAGCAGGCTTTTATCCCTCCACCAGAACTAGTATCTGCAACTTCCACGATACCCAAACCAACTAATGCCACACACGCGCAATCGGAGACAGTGAAGCAGCTCAAAGCCATCCAGTTAATACAGGCATATCAGCGCTGGGGCCACGAACACGCCAATATTGACCCATTAGGAATGCTCAACGAAGGCAAAGTCCGGAAGAAGGAGTTATCCCTGGCGCATTATGGCCTCGGACCTGAGGATCTAGATATGATCATCCCTGTTGGGTTAGGTGCGCAGGATTTCACCGCGACGAAGAGCATGGCTCTGCGGGAGGTCATCGCCATCTGCGAGGAAACATACTGTGGAAGTATGGGTGTCGAGTACATGCACATTTCGGACCAGGAGCAGGTAGAATGGATCCGGAGGCGGATCGAGGGGCCAGAACGCCATATATTCTCGAATGAGGAGAAGAAACGTATTTTGGATGGCTTAGTACGCGCTACGGCTTGGGAGAAGTTCCTCGCTACGAAGTTCCCCAATGAGAAACGATTTGGGCTTGATGGAGTCGAAAGCTACATCCCTGCATTCGAGGCGGCCGTGGACCGATCGGCTGAAAATGGTGTTGAGCATATTGAGATGGGCGTGGGTCATCGCGGGCGCATGAATGCGCTATATAACATTGTTGGAAAAGATGGCGCGTCGATGTTGCGGGATTTCGATTCCAAGGAGACTTCAGCTTGGGGCATACCCGGAGATGTTAAGTATCACTATGGGGGAAGTGGTGAGAGGGTGACTGCTTCCGGGAAGAAAGTGTATATGAATATGGCCCCGCAGCCGTCGCATGTCGAGTCGGTGAACCCGGTTGTTATGGGGAAGACGAGGGCGATTCAAGATGGGAAGAATGGCGATAGTGAGAAGACGATGATGTTGAATGTACATACCGACGCGGCTTTTGCTGGCCAAGGAACAGTGTATGAGACGCTGGGACTGGCTGCATTGAAAGGGTACGAGATTAGTGGAACGTTAAGATTCATCGTGAACAATCAGGTTGGGTTCACGACCGATGCCTGGCAGGCGAGGTCGTCGCTATATTGCACAGACGTGGCGAAAATCTTGGACGCACCAGTTATTCATGTCAATGGTGACGATGTCGAGGCAGTGGTTCTTGCTGGTATACTCGCTGCAGATTTCCGGGCAACATTCAAGAAAGATTTCCTCGTCGACATCGTTTGCTATCGGCGCAATGGGCATAACGAGATGGACCAGGCCTCATTCACCCAGCCAACGATGTATGAGCGCATCGCGGAGAAGAAGAATATTCTCGATGGGTATGAGGCTAGCATGATCTCAAAAGGCGTCGTCATGAAAGAGGAAGTCCAGAGGATGAAAGATAAAGCCTGGGCAGAGCTTATGGAATGTTACGAAAAGAGGAAAGATCAGAAGCCTGATCCAAAAGAGTGGCTAATCGATTCGTGGAAAGGACTGAAGGCGCCAACAGAGTCGAATATGGAAACACTACCACCGAAGGTGACCGCAGTCAGTCACGAATCCATCGAGGCCGTGTCTAAGAAGCTTGGAGCGGAGGTCCCGCAAGGCTTCGAGCTACATAAGAATCTAGAAAGAATTCTTTCTCGCCGGCAACAATCAGTGACGACTGGAAAAGATATTGACTGGGCTACTGCCGAAGCTCTGGCATTCGGAACGCTTCTCCGTGAGGGTACAGGGGTTCGAGTAGCCGGACAGGATGTCGAACGAGGTACCTTTTCCCAGCGTCATGCCGTTCTCCACGACCAACGAACCAACAAAACATACACACCTTTAAGCACCATCAACCCAGACCAGAGCTTATTCACCATAACCAATTCGTCCTTGAGTGAGACTGCAGCAATGGGTTTCGAGTTTGGCTACTCATTGGCAGATCCAAATGCTCTCGTGATGTGGGAAGCCCAGTTCGGCGACTTTGCAAACAACGCTCAAGTCATCATTGACAACTATATCGCATCTTCTGAGAAGAAGTGGCTTCAGGGCTCTGGTGTGGTTCTTTCGTTGCCTCATGGCTACGACGGCCAAGGACCGGAACATACTTCAGCCCGCTTGGAGCGATTCTTGCAACTGGGCGACGAAGATTCAAGGCATTTCCCATCACCAGAGCAGCTCCAGCGCCAGCATCAGGATGCTAACATACAGATTGTGTGCATGACAAGTCCTGCAAACTACTTCCACATTCTGCGTCGGCAGATCCACCGGGACTTCAGAAAGCGTATGTTTCCTTTTCCGCTATCTCATACCCCTGCTAACAAATCTAGCTCTCATTATACTCTTTTCCAAGTCCCTACTCCGCCACCCCCTTGCACGCTCGGATATTAAAGAGTTCACTGATACACCTTACTTCCAACCATTGCTTCCCGAAACTCAGCACGGCATTACTATCAATGAGCCGGAGGTTATCAAGCGTGTCATCTTCTGTTCTGGCCAAGTGTATGCGGCGCTCTACAAGTATCGTGAAACTCATAACCTCAAAGGCACAGCTATCACGCGGATTGAAGAACTCCATCCGTTCCCGTGGGAGCAAGTTAGACAAAATCTGGATAACTACCCAAACGCAACAGATGTTGTTTGGTGCCAAGAAGAAACGCTTAATGGTGGCGCTTGGGGTCATATTATGCCCAGGTTTGAGGTTATTTTGGCTAAGACGAAGCATCATACGGATAAGAAGGTACGTTATGCAGGGAGGGAGCCAATGTCAAGTGTTGCAGTGGGGTATAAGGTGCTTCATGCCATTGAAGAAGAGAAGGTCATGGGTGATGCGTTTCAGGTGTCTTCCCGTCAGTGACCAGTTCTTCACATAGCTTAATAGGTCGAGGTACCAGTGTCTTAATATTATAGTAAAGAACTAAGTATAAACAGTCTTCATATGAATGGATGTGCTTCGTATATCGTTATTCGTGAAACCAAGCCAACCCCTCCTGCTGTTCACTCTCTCCCAGACAACGCCGCAATCAAAGCTGCACCAATTCCCGATCCATCCTCTGCAGGCACAAAGGTAATCAAGTCCTCTGAACCGTCAGGCCACTCTAGGATCTCACGTAAAGCAGCAGCCGCCCGCTCCTTGAACCGGAAAAGCTTCTCAAACGTAGAGCCATCCACACCAACACGGCCTTGGCGAATACCCTCCTTCTTACAGATAGCCGCAATACCGCACGCATACAACCTGGCCGCACGCGTACAAACAATTTCCCCAAGACGACAACAGACTCGAAGTTCCTCGCATGTCGGCTCAATGCCAAATTCGTCTTTCAGGAACTTTCGTGTCTCCGCCATCGCGCTATCCTCCGCTGACCCGTCCTCTTCCATCCTCGACACACACGACGATTCCATTGCGTGAATATGTCGCAGACGACCGAGATCCATATTCTCCAGGTAGCCAGCTTCCTCATGTAGATGGACAATGATAAGCCGTACTATCTCTCCCACATACAGCCCAGCGACCATCTTTTCATATGTCTGTTGACCCGGTCGCGGAGAAGCACGGTCAATCTCGAGGTCGAATTGGCATCGCGGAAGAACCCGGTGGCTGTTGTCAAAGGCGCCATACTCGGTATTGATTGCGACGTATTGGTCGGCGGGGAGATGGTGCTCTGCGATCTTCGGCACGCGCCCGATCTTTTCCATGTATGCTGAGTTGCATCCGGTGCCAAAGATGCTACCGATCTTGATCTCGGGGTCTTTGTATGCCGATGCGATGAGCGTTCCGGTTGTGTCATTCACTAGGGCGACGATGTGCACAGGGACGTTCTGTTGATGAACGACGAGTCAGTGCCGTCTTACCTAGATGATATAGAAGATCTTACCCTCTCCTCAAACGCCTCTTCCAACTGTGCAACAACATCCTCACCCTCTACTCCAGATACATCCCATCCCTTTGTCCAGCGTTGCAACACTCCATGTCGAATGTTATCCTGTGTCACCGGGTAAGAGAAAGTAAACGCAAGTGGTAGTTTCTCGCCCGGGCGGGGAGTCAATGCACGCTCGCGCAGAAAGTCTGCCACGCGGTCTGCAATGTACGCCCATAGCTCCTGCGCATTACCTGTCTTCAAGCCACCCGGTAACTTGAACTTGCTTTGTGTAATCTTGTATCCGCCTTTCTCTTCTGTCAGTGTGACGTTGCATACGCGAAGATTGGTTCCGCCCA